CAGAAGCTCTGCTGAAGTCCAGTGAGCACATCTGTATATCTGTCCCTCTGCCAGATGTTTTCAGTGACAGCCTCCATGTTTATCTGTCAGGTGATATGTGAGGAACAGATCAGATGTTCATCAACACACAGAGACTCTGTGTTTAAATGTCAGGACAGTGAATCCATCACTGACCTGTTGGAGCAGTGATGAACCTTCATGACTCTCAGCAGTTTGTTTCCACTGTGGACTGAGGGAAATGTGCAGAGTGAACAGACTTGATGCTAAAAGTCTCTGCAGGTCTGTGAGCCTCCAGCTCAGTGTTCACTCCAACACGTTAACATGAGAGCTGAGAGGAAGCAGGCTACGCTACACAGCTGCTGCACATCTGGACTGAACAGGACTGAAGTCCCTGCTGCATCACTGACTGACAGCTGATGAAGTGAGTCTCTGTAAACACTCGTTTATCTCCTCTGTTCTTCTTCTCTCCACAGATGGTAGTGGTGATCGTGTGCGTCTCTGCTTTGTCCTTCTACAGTCTCTGCAGACACACTGAGACTCCTCCCCCCTCCACCTGGATTTCTTCACTTGCAGCAAAATATTTTGAGAAAACCTGAGGTCACTCTCTCGCTGTGGTTTAAGAACAGTCATATCCAACCCATCCTGCTCCTCAGAAATCAGTGAACTCAACAAGCACCAATGTGAACAGTGGAGTGTTGATAATATTCTCATTTACTTCTTTAGCTCAACTGGAAAAATTATAAAAAGTGAATTGGTAGCTTCGATTCTTTCTTCTCTATCTAAACTACTGTGAGACTTAAAGCATGAACACTAACAACCTGTCCATCAAAGTGTTCGATTCTCACCTCATGTGACAGAGCCATGTTGACAGATGGTTCCATGTCAGCTCCTGTATTTTCTCTGCTGATATTCAAACTCTCTCCATGTAGATTCAGACATTTTCTCCTGTTTCTCGTTTCCTCCTCGTGCTCCCTCAAACGCTCTGAGTTCCTCCTTTTCTGTGTGAAATATTAGAATCAATGTGTAATAAATCTGTTAGTAATGTAGTTAGCCATGCAGCGGATGACTCGTGCTGATGAGAATGAGCTGAGCTCCTGTTTGTACTGGATCATGGTGTCACTGAAGGAAACCTAAAAACAGGAGGATTCCCAACAAAGTTCTGCAGCCTGTTTTTTTCCTTTGGAGTTTTATTCTGAAGGGACGTCAGAGATTCTGATATCCTCAGGAAGTGAGGTCACACCGGACCAGAGCAACATGTCTGAGTGTTCAGGTGCTGCAGCTCCACCTGCTGACAAACTACAGTAACTGACTTCCTGTTTGCATTTTCAAGGCTCGACGACGGCTTTGACCAGTGAAGACGTTCACACAGATGTTCATACAGATGTTCAAACAGATGTTCATACAGATGTTCACAGATGTTCATACAGATGTTCACAGACGTTCACACAGATGTTCACACATTGTCTGTGAATCAGAATCGGGACTTTTACTTTTTCACTTGAGTCCTGAATTTGACTTTTAGTGTTTTTTTTCATTTGGTCTCTGATCTCGGAGTCACATTCTCCAGTTCACTTTCATCCATATCCGATCAATAGTTGAATCTGATCAGTTTAGTAGTTTTGAATCGGGACCTTCAGTATGATTTTCATGTGTCAGAAACAGATTTATCAACAGTTATGTAACTATAACCTCGGGACTCAGATCTAATCATGCTGTTGGTGTGTTTGTTAAAGTTGAGCTCTCACACAAGTTCAGGGCTGCAACTAACGATTATTTTCAGATCAATCTGCCCATTGTTTAACTAATTAATTGATTTTTCTTTTTTACTCTGTGAAATGTAAAACATAAATAAAATGGCAGAGAAGCTGAAACCAGAGAATATTTGATATTTGTGCCTTAAAGACGTCGTGTGTCGGCGCTTTACTGCTCTTCAGATCCTGTTGCACAAAACACCTTAAGATGTTCCTACAGTCTGAGTGAAGGTTTCCCTATATTAAAGCAGTTTCACAAAACACCTTAAATCTTCACAAGGTTTCCCTGAAATGTTCACTTAAGTATTTAAGGTTTTCTCCTGATCTTAGTCTCATACTTGAGAAATCCCTTAAAGTCAGTTCAGACCTTAGCAACCAAACTAAGGAATAAAACTAAAGGTTTTTCTGATTGTATCTGAACCTCGACTTGTCTGAGTTCACAGTGATTAAAAAAAAACAAACAGTCTCCATGGAAACTACAATTTTATCACTGTAAAATCTTTTTGATTTCTGCAAATACCTTCATGTTTTTCCTTAACTAAGGAAACTAGGTCATTCTGTGTAACACCCTGAAGTAACTCCCTCAGCTAAGGAGAAATTCAACCTCAAGTGTCGGACTTAAGTGGAAAACTTAAGGTGTTCTGTGCAACTGGCCCTGAGAACTCTGGGAAATCCTCCTGTTCTCCACCTTCCTCAGACTTTCTGCAGGAAACATCATTTCAGTTTCCTAAAACTAGATCTAAAGACAGATTTAGTTCACTAAGGTCTGAACCTGTGAACACACCTGGTATAAACTGACGTGCCTCAGGGTTGAAGCTCAGTCTGAACAGCTGTTTGTTCTTCACTCAAACCAGCTGATGTGACTGTGTGAACAGAAAGGTCAACACATTGTCCTTCACTGTTTACTCACCAATCAAAGTCAGAGCACTGCAGCTCTGTGTGCTTCCTGTCTGACACGGTGACGCCACAGAAAAACGTGTCTGCCGCGTTTTTCTACTAATTTTAATCAAAACTCGACATTTAATTCGTCTTCTGTGCAGTTTCCGCACAACCTGGATGCGTTCTGAGGGACTTTAGGGGCCGGTTCTGGCTTGTCGGAGCTTTTTGAGGGGTTTTGAACGCACCGTCAAGTCCATATAGTGCAGGAGGTGGATGCTGGGTTCACTGACGGGGGAATAAAAGCACCTGCGGCAGGTGTGTCGCTGCCGAGGCCAACAGGATGTCCTGCTCCTGCTGCTGCTGTGTGACTCCCGGCGGGAAGCTGCTGGAGGGTAAAATCACACACACACACACACACACACACGAATGAGTTCACCTGAGGGTCACATGGTTGTCAGGTACGTGTCACACAGTCACATCAGCTGGTGCAGGTGAGAAGAAGCAGCTGTTTCACTCGTAACAAAAACAGAGTTACAGATGTGGTTCCAGATGTGTCAAATGATGTTTGTTTGAATCTTATGTTCAGTGAGTCAGAATCACATTATATTTATGATTCCACAGAGTCCAGATGATTGAGTGATTGATTGTGTTCGATTCCAATGTTTGTTTCTATTATTGATGACTGTTCGTTATTACTGTAACCATGACAACCGAGGTTACGGTACGCCTCCTGCCGGAGGGCGCGCTGTTTCAGGAGACGCTCCTGTGGGTCGCATCTGAGGGTCGGTGGTGGTTTAGGTTGGAGGAGTTGTTAATGGCGGTAGACGTACCTGACCTCGGTTGCCATGGTTACTATAATAACGGCCATGTCTTGGTTGGGTTTAGGAGAAGATGGTGGTTTGTGTAAAGTGAATGTTTCCTCAACATTAGACGATCTTTGTTGTCATGGTTACAACATAACCACACGTGGACTCTGTCTCTCTTTATTCTACGTCACCGACACTTTTCCCTTCGCTCCTGTCGTCATTACCACGACCACTAGATGTCGCCTAGCAACAAAACCCAGCTGTGATGTCATAACCTGCTGCACAGACGAGCTGTGGGCTCGTGTCTTACAGGAGGACAGACTCAGATTTGATTTGTTCAGGAAGTGAAGTCACTGAATGAGGAAAGACACCTGTCACCTGGAGCAGGACCATGTACAATACTTACTGTACATGTCAGAGCTGTTGGTCTGCTCTCCTGCAGGGGTCAGGAGGAAGGAGCTGCTGGTCCGAGAGGAGGAGGAGGAGGGAGCAGGAGGAGAAGAGGAAGAGGAGAGCAGGAGGAACATGGACGTCTCTCTGCTCAGAGAACAGTACAGGAGCAGCAGAGAGACACAGAGGAGACAAACCCAGCTGCTTCTGTTCAGGACAGGTGAGCGGAAGTTGTTTGTTTACCTGCGGAGAGTCAGAGTCGTGGCGGTGACCGGAAACAGATTGGTTTTAGAAATAAAAGCAGGAGATAATCGAGCTTGTAGAGAGAAAAACTGGTTTGGGAGAGAAAATGTCTAAAGTTTATTTCTCCGTTCAGGATCGTGACGAGTTAAAGTCTGTTACACCAACACTTCCTGTTGCTGCTTTCAAAATAAAGGCACATTAGACAGGCGTGACATTGAAGCTCCCCACCGGATAGTTTGAGGAAGAGGAAGTATTCAGATCATTGACTATAATTTAAAACATTCAGTAGGTTTATAAACTTAAGATGTAGATCTTAAACGATTTGAGATTGATTATTGATTATTTATTAATTCCAAACAGGAAGCACAGACTTTGCTGTAGTTATAGATTCTGATTCTGTTTTCTACAGTAAACTGATAAAAACAGTTTCTAAATAATGAATCTGTGTTTTACTGACAGTTGTTTCATTCTAACTGTATTTACAGCTGTGAAGAAGCTAATGATCCATGTTCTGACAACCTAGTGAAAATGACAGTATCAGCAAGAAATAAATGATCCTCCCTCCCTCCCTCCCTCCTTCCCTCTCTCCCTCTCTCCCTCCGTCTTCATCACCCTCTCTTCTCACTGTTAAACCACTGTGTGTCTCTACAGTCTCAGAGGAGCTGTCCGAGGCCGTCAGCGTCGTCCCTGTCACTCAGGGTTTGACATCACCTCCGCCTGCCGTAACCTTCAACCCCGACCCATTGACCTACGACCCTTGGCGCGTCCATCTGGACCTCCACCGGCGCTCCTGCCCCGGTGTCACCGTCCGGCTGCCGGCCTCCTCCCCGGAAACAACAAACACCAGCGTCACTGGTTCCTCCAGGTCAGAGGTTAAAGATGTGCATCATGGGATTGTAATCACCTCCACAGGCTGGTGAAATATTTAAGAGCAGGAAAACTAAATGCGATAGGCTGAGATAAGCCTAGTTTAACAGGTAATCTTTATGACCCCGCCCTCTGACTTTACAGGCGTTCATCATCTTCTTCCTCTGGCTCCGTCACAGTCCCGAAGTCCAGAGGCAGAAAGCTCTCTGTGGACTCAACGTCAGAGTTGCTCAGCAGCTCCAGAGAAATGTCCCCCTGCAGCTCATTCAGCAGCACCAAAGAAGAAGACCACTTCAACGTAGAGCGGTGCAGAGATCCAGACTCTGGATCCTCTGACAGATCCAGAGGAGTCGGTGGTTCCGGGGCGGATCCAGTCCACTTTACTGTCACCAGACCCCTCGATGCTTCGGAGCAGAATCCCAGTGACGGATCCAGAGAAGATCCTCCTGATGATTCTCAGGAGAGTTCGGCCCCCGGTTCTCTGACCAGCTCTGATGAAAGCTCCACCCCCGTCGCCTCCGTCACCTGCTCCCCCAGCAGCTCCACCACCGACCTACACCTGAAGGAGAACCGGTCTGCAGATGTAAAAACCACTAACGACTTCCTGCAGACCCGCAACACCCCAGCGTGGAGGGGCTCCAGGAAGTTCTCGGCCCCTGCCCTCAGGTTTACCAGACAGCTGAGTGTAGGGGGGGTGGGCTCGTCCTCGGGGGTTCACCAGAACCAGAACTACTACCCATTCCCCAGCAGGAAGGCGCCGAGGATCTCTGAGGCGGCCAGGAGGCTGGGGATGTACTCGTCCTTCTGAGAGATTTCACAGTTTATTTCATGATGCGAGTTCATGTTCAGCTGCTTCAAAACCAGTTTCCTTCTTTCTTTCATGACCCAGATGTTAATTTACAGTTCTCTCCATCTTTCCTCTTTAAATCACTCGCTCAACAGAAACGAGATGTCAGTTTATCAGGCCAGGATCAGACTTCTGTTTATTTTCACTGATTCATTGTCAGGTGTGAAGTTATGACGTTAATGGTTTCATTGTAAACCAGCTGTTTTATTAAAGGAATTCAAAAGCTGATGAATCTGTTCACTGTTTATTTCTTAATTTAATTGTATCAGCATCTTCATGTAAAGTTCATCATCATGCTTATTTTCTATTCAAATTATAAAAAATATATAATAAAAAAATGCAATTATATATAAGTTTGAGTCTGTCTTTTATTTTATTGATTTATTTTTATCACTCTCGGTTGGAGTGTGTCTTTGTTTTATTTTATTTTAACGCTGGCTTGTATTGTCGAATTTCCTCTCACAGAAAAACTGTAGGACATTTGACCCTCGTTAAACGCCGTAGCAGATCAAAGATCGTCTATAGTTGTGAGGACGAGTCTCGCTTGATTTCAAGCCCAGCTTCTCGCTTGATTTCGGTTGGCGGTACGTGACGTTAACAGGATCGTGAAACGCGGTCAGAGTGAGACCTCCTCCTCTCTCTCGTCACCTCTTTCCCAGAAACGACCAACCCACAACAACAACATCATCTGGCTGGAGAAGTGGACGGTTACCGGGGCCTCACGCGCGTTTAAAACCACGGAGCTCTTTGTCATCTTGTCTTTTGACGTCAAGGTAACGCTCAGGAACATTTAACAGCGAGTCATGGCGGGTTTTAAGCGGGAAAACACAGAAACGACCTTTGTTTGAAGCTAGCGGCTAAGTTTGACTGTTACCGTGTGAAACCTCTGCCTGTTGTTGTTGGCGTCATTAGTAACGTGTTTACCGTCAGCTAGCTTCATTCACCGTAGCTCTCTGTGTTGTAGTGTCTCTCACAGGAACAGTGTTGACCAGCAATCAAACATGAAACCCGTTTAAATGTCACTAACAGTGTTCAGGGTCTGTGGAAAGCGGTAATGTTCTGCGGTCTTCCGGTATGAACGTCATGAATCTGCTGCTCCAGTCACGTGTTTAAAGTTTGGAGATCTGGAGCCAGACATCCTCACTTCTACCTGCTAATGTGGGTCCAACTACAAAAACACAGGATCCTACATCTCCCATAATGCATCTGTCAATAATAAGTTTGACCGTAACTCACCCGCAGCGCATTTGTAGTTTATTTGAGTTTTTCTGGCTTGTTTGAAACCAGTAGTTGGGAGTTTAGAAATCTGAGAGGACGAGCAGGTCGCGACGTTTAAACCGAGAAGAGATCAGTTGATTTGAGAGACGTTCACGGTCAGTCACAAGAGACACTGTGAGGAAAAACGTCCACTAGTGAACGGCTTTCTTTTCAGTAACAGTTTTGATTTTAAGATCCTTTTATTGGTTTTTAAAGCTCTCAATGGTCTTGGTCGGACTTATTGATCAGATTTGATTTTATCCTCCTAGATCCCTCAGATCTATTAGTTAAACCCACAGTCAGAAGGAAAACTCACAGTGAGGCAGCTTTTTATTAGCGTGGTCCAGGAAACCTGAGGACAGTAAACTCAACACCGACCTTTTCAGTCTGGCTTTTAATTGACTTTTATTTATTTATATATTTGAAGCTGATTTATGGGTTTGTCCTTTGTCTTCAGTGTTTCCTCAGGTCCTGTTTTTATTGTCTTATTTCTATTGTTTTTATTTATTACTTGGTAATTTATCGTTCTGTGTGTGTGTGTGTGTGTGTGTGTGTTGTTTTTTATTGCTTTTATTTCTATTTTATTCTGTAAAGCACTTTGTGTTGCTTTGTTTGTATAAAAAGTGCTATACAAACAAAGTCTGATTGATTGATTAGTTCCTGTAAAGTAACCTCTGAGCAGAGAAACACAGTCGGCCGAAGTCTGTCTCTCGGCTCTAGTTTCCTTCAGCAGTAATGACTCACTCCACGTAGCGGGGGAATTCCTCCAGCTGTCCAACAGCTTTCACTTTCTCATTCGTCCCTGGTGCTTTCAGAGACGAGAGACGATGGCGGAGCAGAACACGGAGGCGAAGCTGAAGAACCTGCTGAAGCAGAAGAAGATCCAGCTGTGGAACCCACCGTACACCGACGACGACAACCGGCCGGGGCAGCAGCACATGGAGGTAATTAGACAACACACCTTCTTCAACTACACTGTCATCATCATCATCATCATCATCATCACAGGACTTTAAAGATGTAGTGTGGTAATAAACCATGATACAGAACATGTCAGGGATCCTGGGGAGGAACCTTTATACTGAACATATTTATTGATGTGTTTATTGATAATGTATTATTAAGATGAGGTATTTCTAAGTAAGTAAATAAATACACACAGACCCACATACAAAAAATTAATAATACATAAACAAATCTTAAAACAGAGAAGTGAAAATAACTCCATTAAAATTAGCCATTAAAATTAGTTTTGTTTTAATGCATCTCCTGGGACGTCCCTGCTCCTCCTTATATAATGGAGAAATATGATTAAAAATGCAGCGCTCATTGAGATGTTACAGTGTTCTTCATGTGGAGTCATTTACTTTAATGTCGCAGCTTTGAAATCTCACATTGGATCATGAACTGTTTTTGTTCAGGAGCTGGCGGAGCACTTCGCCCCCCTGCTGGGTCTGTCGGTGTCGGAGGTGGGCGGCGCTCTGGAGTCTGTCAGAGTCCAGGCGGTGAACAGAGGGAAAGGAAACAAGACGTACAGAGAGACCAACGTGGCAACACTGGAGCTGCTGCTGCCCAGAGACAGCAGGAAGGTGGATCATCATCATCATCATCATCATCATCATCCTCTGTGCTGCTGCTGTGAGTTTCAAACTGTCGTTCTGTTTCCTGTTTGTTTCAGGATCCAAAGTCGAAGAAGACCTACCTGGAGACAAGGCTGGACGTGTTGGTTCAGGAGGTGGTGGACAGGTACACACACACACACACAATCACACACACACACACAGAGAGAGAGAGAGATCAGACAGGACTGTGTTGGTTCTCCTCTCAGACACTTGGCGGTTGAGTGTGTGTGTTCCTCTGCTGCAGGATCGGAGACGACCACGGCCTCAAATACATCAAACTGATCCTGAACGGGAAAACGTTGTTTGTAGGTGAGTTCACACGACCTGCAGGTAAAACACTGGAACAGTCAGCTGATCCATAGATCAATCAGCTGATCATTTTCCACTGCTCTGTTTCTGTTGTCTATCACTGATGTGTGTGTGGGTGTGGGTCCCGGCAGACCAGCGTCTGGACGAGCAGGGCGTGAAGAACCACAGTAAGATGATGGTGCTCAAGGTGAGCGACGCCGAGCTGAAACGACAGATGAGTGAGGAGGAGCAGAAGAAGAAGGAGCAGAACGAGAGTCTGCAGAGGACCCAGAAAGGCTTCCAGATCCTGTCAGAGAGAGGTGTGTGTGTGTGTGTGTGTGTGTGTGTGTGTGTGTGTGTGTGTGTGTGTGTGTGTGTGTGTGTCTCCTCTGGTGTTTAGTCTCTTACTCTCTGCTGCTGCTTCTCAGACGGCAGCGAGGACCCAGACACCACGCCTTTCCTGGAGATCGCCGACCAGAAGGGAAACCCCCTGAAGATCCCGCACAAGGAGAGGAAGGTAGAGAGATGACGTCATCTAGTTTTTACTCACAGTCGACACAGTTCATCGTGTTGATTTTAAAGGTTAATGTTCAGTTTTGTCCGTCTTGACTTCCATATAATGTGTGTGTGTGTGTGTGTGTGTGTGTGTCAGGCTTTAATCCTGGCCATGGGTTTCCATGAGAAAGGTCGCTCTCTGATGAAGAGGAAGCAGTACGACAACGCTCTGTGTCACCTGCTGCAGGCCGACCAGCAGTTCAGGTAAGGTCACCTGACACCAGCTCTGACATCATCAGATGTCAAACATCACTGTCCTGGAGTTAGAGACAGTTTCACGTGTCAGACTTCAGACGGTGGTTCATGGTGGTGAACAGCAGCAGAACAGGTCGTAGTGTAGTCGCAGTTGTAGCTTCACTTGTAGTTCATAGTTTTAATAACTGCTGGTGTCAGAGTGAAGGTGTAGAGATCAGGTGCTGAGTCGTGTTTCTCTGCGCAGTAAGTGCGACTCGGCTCTGCTCACCTCGGTGGATAACTACGCCGTCCTGCAGCTGGACATCGTGTGGTGTTACCGAGCCCTGGAGGCTCTGTCCTGTCTGGACGACGGGAAGAGCCGCCTGCGGAGAGCCGAGGACTGTTTCCTGCAGTGTTACGGAGAACAGCGCGAGAGGCTGCGCATGATCAAGGTAAACAGTCACGCATTCACCACTCTCACTGTTCACACGTTCACAACAGCTGGGGATTTATTTCCTTAGTTTAGTTCCACGACCAGACGTGAAGGAACAGTCTCAGAAAATCTTGTTTTATTTTGAAATGTTAAAGCCGTTTTAACCTAATGTGTGTGTGTGTGTGTGTGTGTGTGTTGTCAGGGTAACACAGGCAGAGAGGAGGTGTTGTTTCTGCGGCTGTATCTCCTCCAGAGTCTCCTCTCCTACCTGGAGGGAAACGACGGTCAGGCTCAGCAGCAGCTGTCCAAGGTTCATACACACACACACACACTCTGCACAACACGCATGACTGATGACTGATGACTGATGACTGTGTGTGTGTGTGTGTGTGTGTGTGTGTGTGTGTGTGTGTGTGTGCAGGTGGAGTCTCTGTTCAGCCGTCTGTGTCTGGACTCAGAGAAAATGGCCCAGCTGATGGCTCTGGGTTTCTCTGAGAGAGAAGCTCGGCTGGGACTCAGAGCCTGTCAGGGAGACCTGGAGGCAGCCGCCAACCACATCAGCAGCCGCAGACAGGTAGCACCTGCACCTGCATTACAGTTAGTCTGAGGATGCTCACTGACGTCACTGAGCCTGACTCTAGCCACTCCCACGGCTTAAAGCTGAAAATAGGAGCCTGACTACGTTTCCAGGATGTTAGAGGACCTTCCCTGGAATGCCTGGAAGACAACAGGTTATCCTGGAAGAGGTTTTAACGTGCAATAAAATAAAAATGAATAAATCAATGAGAGTCCGGAGGGTTCAGGCTTCAGCAGCCGCTCATTGTCGGTTTCCATCCTTCAGATCTCGTGTTTTGGATCCGTGATCTTTTTCTGTCAGTTTTATTGGTACGTGTTGCGAGCGCTTAGTTTGATGTGTGTGGATGTGTTTTCTGCTCAGGAGCAAGAGGAGCTGAAGCAGAGGGAGCGGCAGAAGAGGAGGAGGAGGATGGAGGACATCTCCTCCCTCACAGAGATGGGATTCTCCAGGAGAGACGCAGCCAGAGCTCTGCACCGCGCTGACGGAGACGTGGACAAAGCTTGCGAGGTGAGAGGCGGTTTCATCATTTCATTATCAGAGAAACGATCTCAGCTGAAGATCCAGTTTAAAACTGACACACCCTCCTCAGGTGATCAAGCCGTGCAGGTAAATGACAGTCAGCTGACCCTCTCTGTCCAAGCTGCTGTTAGTTATTCTAATATTCTGCCTGCTGTCTTTCAGATCCTCCAGGACTCCAGTCGACCCGCTCAGCTGAACAACAACAACACAGAGGGGGCAGTGAGTCCAGAGAAGGTGGAGCAGGTACACCACCTGACACCGCCCTACACCACCTGACCTCACCTGACCTCACCTGACTTCACCAAGAACAAAGACATCAAAGAGCTGCTTAGATTTCCTCCAAGTTGTTAAACTGAACTCTCTCTCTGTCTCTCTCTCTCTGTCTGTCTCTCTCCCTCTCTCTCCCTCTCTCTCCCTCTCTGTCTCTCTCTCTGCCCCCCCTTGCAGTTGTTGTATTTGGGTTTTGAGAGGGAGGCATCTGAAGCCGCTCTCAGACTGACAGGTGGAGACATCCAAACAGCAACTCTGCTGCTGCTGGACAACCAGGGCGTCCTCTCCCCGCCCTCCACCTCCACGTCCACCCCCTCCTCCTCCACCCCCTCCTCCACCTCCCCCTCCTCCGAGGAGCCCACAGCCTCCTCCGCCTCCACAGGTAAGACACCTCCACACCTCTGGACAGTGGGCGGAGCTTTCTTCACCCAGGACTGAGATCAAAAGACAAAATGCAAACGAATCTTTTATCATATTGTAGAACTGAAAAAATTCTACTTTAAGTCAAATGTTAAAAGCAAAAGGGAAATAAACAAAAACAAGCTTCATATTTTAGTAATTAATTAACTTTATCTTCTTATGTATGTTTTTATTTTCCTGATTCAATTCAAGCTCTTACATTCAAACTTTTCTCAGTTTGTCATTTTTCATTCTCCTTCTTTTTAACGTGTGATTGTGTCCTGAGATACTGGATACCAACATAATAATGTTTTCATTTAATCTAAATATATAAATGTGTAACATACTGTAAACATTTATGTAATATACTAAATACATTATTATACGTCATAAAAACATGTGGAGCTTCAACTCTGTAAGAAAGAAATGAAGAGAAGTAGAAAACAGTTTGTGATGAACTCAAAAAGTAAAGAAATAAAAAGTCAGAACTTTAATGTGACAGAACAGAATTGAGCATATTGATCTGAACACAGTATTGATCGGATCGTCCATGTGTCTTCTGTCCTCAGAGGACGAGGAGCTGGTGAGCGAGGTGCTGGACGACATCTCCCACCACGAGGAGGATTATCTCGACCTGACGCTGGAGGAGGAGAGCGAGCTCATCGACACCATGAAGACCTACCTGAGCCGAGGCCCCACACACACCGTGTGACAGACACACACACACACACACACACACACACAGTGCTTCACCCTCTGTTATCCATGCACAGCAGTCAGCGCCTCCACCTCAGACTCAATCAGGTCGTCTCCTCCCTCACAAACTGATCATTAGTTTTATTTAGAGATCAGCTGAGACAGTTTTATTTTGAAGGATCCAAACTGTTGTGTTGCACCTCAGCTGGCAACATGTTTAATTTGGATTTAATTTGAAAAGCTGTCAAAGTCCTGCAGGCTGCTGACGACTTCCTGTTTTAATTTGTGAAAGCTTCGGTTTGAGAAGTGGCGCGTCACATGACAATGTTCACTTTAAAACTTGTTCTTCTCAGACTGATCCGTCTGCTGTTCTTCATTATATCCTTTAAACACAAATGTTCTTTTCTGAATTCATCTTTAGCCACATGAAGATTTTCTTTAGATGTTTTGGCCGAACCAAAGGAACCTGCTGAGCTGCTGCTGGAAACACGAACTCCAGGTTGTTGTTGTGACGACTGATCGATCGCGTGTTTTCCGTTTGCGACTCAGCAGCTGTTTGTGACATTGATTTAATTTAAATGAATTTCATGTTGATGATGAGTTCCATGTGGATCGTCTCATGTTGATGGAGCCAATAAAGAAAAAGGTTTCGTTTGACTTTGTCTGTCCGGTAGTCGGCTGGGTCACATGACTGAAGAGTCAGACAGGTAAACGATAGAGAGATAATATACTGAAACAGAGGAGATGTATTAAAGACAGTGAAACCAGAAATAAAAGGTGGGATATTAGAAATCTAATAAAAATAAAATGTTAAAGAAAAAATAATAAAATGCTAAAAGAGATGAGAAGAGATGGAGAATAAAAAGATAAAATGAAAGTAGAAATAAAATCTCCCAGAAACCTGAACACGTCTGTTTGTGGAACTCAGCTGTCACCTGGTCACCGTCTTCTTCCTGTCACCTGGTCATCCACAGAGAAATGCACACAGCCTGTATTCAGAAACTGAGCCTTAAAACCAGCCGTCAGGACTTCTGGAACTTTGTGATGTCACAACAAAGCAGTCACCAAGCCCCGCCCACCTGGACCCACCATCCAAACCTTGCAGGATTTGGTTTCTCTGAGTGTTTTTACCTGAAATCTGCTTTATTTTTATTGGATCACTCAGAAAACAGTCAGCCAATCAGAAGAGAGTTTCGGCGCCTCCTCTCTTCTTATTGGCTGACTGACCTGTTGTTACTAGAGCTCCAGAGAGAAGCCTGAGAGAGGAGATGTAAAACTACACTGAGATGGTTTTTATATCTTCTTATGGATCAACACTTCAAATAAAACACAGAAGAAGAAACATGGAGCTTTAACACCTGTTATTTATTTATATACAGAGAGAGAGAGAGTACGGAAGAGGATTAGGACCATATGTGATTTTCTTTTCTTTTTTTGAATTCTGATTTTAATCTCAGATTTCTAAAATATTTTTTCACATATGGTCCTCATCGTCTTCCGTAAGAGAGTGTGGGTGTGTGTGTGTGTGTGTGTGTGTCTCTTTAAATGTTTAACCCCTGCCCCCCCGGTGTGTGTTTATGCGTGTGTGTGCCGGAGGTGGTCGGTGTGTTTCCTCCTCATGGCGGCCTATCAGGACTCTCCCCTCTACCTGGGCTTCGACTTCAGTACTCAGCAGGTAAAACTCACCCCGTCACCTGTACGTCGTTTACCTGTGTGCGTTGGATTCGGTGACGTATTTTACGTCCACGCAGCGCGCTGAAGATGTAGTAAAAGCGCAGATGCGGAAGAAGGAACGCGGTGCGGTGCGTCGGGTCGGTGATAGTCCTGGGTCCGGACCAGAACCTCGGACTGACGACACGTCAGAAAACAGAATCAGCTGTTTAAAGCGGAGACACGGTGACGTTAACGGCGGGAAACAGACTCATTTCAGATCCAGCAGCTGCTGAAATATTATCCATGTTAATGTAACACTCAGTTTATTAGGAACACCTGGATCAGACTGATGTTGAACTGTCTGTCTGTCCCTCAGTGATCAAAAGAAATCTTTATTTATAACTCTCTTCTTTACAAAGTTACAAAGTGTTTTAGAAGGAAAAGGTCAAACCAAACCAAAGAAAAGAAGCCGAGCTTCATCAAAAGCAAGAGAAGTTTATTTGTGCGACACTTTTCCCAGACACCAAAGTTTCACAATCAAAAGGCATACAATCAAATGAAAGAATTCAAATCAAACTCATCAAAAACAAAAATAATCACCAGATAAAATACACAAGTGTAAAAGTGTAGAACAACAAGAACAACTCAAATCAACATGATGCCAAGAGATCTGACAGGAAGTGAAAAGAGGCAGTGAAACATGGAAAAACAATAATTAGGGATAAAACAATATAAATTAAAGCTGTAAACAGCATCACACGGCCCCCGGCCTGTCGTTAACCTCGGGGCCGCCACCAGGCCGCCGCCAACATTCGTACGTTCCTGTAAATCAGGTGTAAAACAGACCATCATGTAAATCGAACAATGACTGTTACTCAGGATTTACTTCCTGTTTTCAGTAGGTGGCGCTATGACAGTGATGTAATATTAGCATGCAGATGTCGTCAGTGTGGGACGGTCATCAAACACATGAAGTTTGAGGCAGATTGGTCAATGTATATTATAGTTATAACAACTTCCTGTTTCATGACAAATTATTGAATTCACCGTGCGGCCACGGGCAGGTCCTCCAACGAAAACTCAAAAGCTTCGCAATTTAGCGTCCTAAAGGTCTTAAGGTGAGACTGATCAGATATTGATTCGTTGATCTCATCAGTTCTCTAGGAGGAGTTCCTTTAAGTACGACGTCCTTAAATCACCAAAACGGCATCAAAACTGCAGATTAAATTCAAAATGGCTGACTTCCTGTTGGCCTTAGGTTATGGATGCTGACACGTGTGCGAAGTGTCATGAGTTTTTTTGTTTTTTTTTTTAAGTATATTTTTTTGGGCTTTTTATGCCTTTATTGATAGTGCAGTAGAGAGACAGGAAGTGGGGAGGCAGAGAGGGGGAATGACATGCAGTAAAGGCCGTCCGATGCAGGACTCGAACCGGGGCCGACTGCAGCGATGTGTAGCCTCTACACACGGGGCGCCTGCTCAGACCACACGACGCCCCGTCATGAGTTTTCAATCATGTTTAGGCTCAAAAAGGTGATTTATTCTTATGGAGGAAGAAAACAATAAGAAACTCTGATTCCAAAGGCCGAGACAGAAATGTGTTTTCAGAAGAGATTTAAAGGAAGTTAAGGAGTTACAGCGAGTCACTTAAAGCTGGACAAAATAACAGAAACTAACACAAACAGGTGAGTGAACACCTGAGCAACAGGTGAGTCTTTAACTGCCCCCCCCCCTTCATTTGAATGATTGATTTAATGATTGTTCCTCTGAAGCTGAAGGTGGTGGCGATCGACGGAGAACTGAACGTGGTTCATCGGGACAATGTGCACTTTGACTCCGAGCTACCTGAGTTCAGGTAACACACATCAGATATCACTGCCTCTGGGGCAAGAACAGAGTCACCCTTCAGCCATGTATTGATCTGATATTGAATATTGACTGTCAGAGTTGTGTAATGATGTGGTTCCCATCCATGGCCCACTTATGTTGGCCGCCACATCCGACCCGTAACAATATGGAGGCCAAATAATCTCTGATCAGAGCACTTTTAATTGTAATGATAACGATCGAACCAGGTATACACTGAGGTCTGACCAGTGACAACACAAACGTTCCTGACGCTGCTATTTTCAACATTCGTAAAGTTTTTAAAGAATTTATTTTCAAAACATTCAGAAACATTATTTACATTTTCATTTTTTATAATTGTTTTATAATTACATCTTTTCACAAAAATTGTTCTGTTTTGCAAATGATTTGTCTGCCCACTTTCAACACCTTGGTGGGCCACCAATGGGCCCCGCGCCACAGGTTGGGAACCGTTGTTATAGAGCGTCAGTGGACGTAGAACAAAGTGACACAGACTGGTTCTACAGGTTTGTGTTTCTGGTCATGTGACACAGATCAGCTGGACGTGATGATATTATATCTGTGAATACGTCGGACACGTCCAGACGCTCGTGACGTCTCTCAGGGAGTCGAGGGGACAAAGTGATTTTATTTTGATAAGGTTGTTCATGTGGTTCAGGTGTTTTATTTTGAAAGTGAGCAGCAGCTCAGTTTGTTGTCTTTGGTCTCCAGGACTCAGGGAGGAGTTCACCTCCACGCCGACAGACTGACCGTCACCTCACCTGTGCTGATGTGGGTCAAGGTGAGACACACGACACACACACACACACACACACACACACACACACAGTCATGATGATGAAGGAGTCTTCTCTCCAATTCTTCAGTTAAAGTATAACCTCACCGTGGAGGGTCGTCAGTTGACCTTTGACCTCTGACGAGTCATGTTTTCTGGGTCAGGTTGATGAACCAGAACAAAGTGACAGATGTGACTTTGAGTTGAATCTTTAACAGTCTTTCCTGATGTGTCTCCTCCCGCTGCTGCTCCGGGTGGCGTTAAACAAACGCACCTCAATCTGCAGATGTGGTTTTATAACAGCTGCTGCTCTGACAGATGTTCGACTGTCCCCACGCTCTAATGTGATCGGTTGTTTGTCCTCAGGCTCTGGACCTGCTATTGGACAAGATGAAGAGGGCGGGGTTTGACTTCTCTCGAGTCAGAGCGCTGTCAGGCAGCGGCCAGGTGAGACAGGAACCATGTGACACGCCTCGCCCAAATATGGACATGGTGACGTAGAATATGAAAAAGTATTGTATTGTACGAATGTTTTTCATATTGTTTTATTTATTCATGAGTTTTTATAAATGGTTTATTTAATGATGTTTAAATCCATTTTTAAATCTGTAATCTGTATGATTAATTGTTCATTTATAAATTATTTTAATTAAAACATGAAATGAAGGAAATGTTTTGTCCTGTCGTCGTGCTGCTCTGTAGCAGTCTGATGAAACATCTGTCTCTGTCTCAGCAACATGGCAGCGTGTACTGGAGACGAGGAGCGTCCAAGACTCTGAACCAGCTCGACCCGGAGCAGACCCTGTTCCAGCAGCTGCAGGTCTGTCCACAGCCAGATGTTACATGTGTGTTAGTGTGTGTGTGTGTGTGTGTGTGTATTCATGTCCTCTGGTGTGTCAACAGGACAGTTTCTCGGTGTTGGACAGTCCTGTGTGGATGGACTCCAGCAGCAGACAGCAGTGTGAGGAGCTGCAGGCAGCAGCAGGAGGAGCTCTGAGACTGGCAGAGGTCACCGGGTCCAGAGCCTACGAGGTCCCACTGTCTGTCTCTGTGTCTGTTTCTGTCTCTGTCTCTCTGTCTCTGTGTCTGTCTCTGTCTCTGTGTCTGTCTCTGTGTCTGTCTCTCTGTCTCTGTGTCTGTCTCTGTCTCTCTGTCTCTGTGTCTGTCTGTCTCTGTGTCTGTCTCTGTGTCTGTCTCTGTGTCTGTCTCTCTGTCTCTGTGTCTGTCTCTGTCTCTCTGTCTCTGTGTCTGTCTCTGTGTCTCTCTGTCTCTGTGTCTGTCTGTCTCTGTGTCTGTCTCTGTGTCTGTCTCTCTGTCTCTGTGTCTGTCTCTGTCTCTCTGTCTCTGTGTCTCTCTGTCTCTCTGTCTGTCTGTCTCTGTGTCTGTCTCTGTGTCTGTCTCTCTGTCTCTGTGTCTGTCTCTGTCTCTCTGTCTCTGTGTCTCTCTGTTTCTGTGTCTGTCTCTGTGTCTGTCTCTGTGTCTGTCTCTCTCTCTCTGTGTCTGTCTCTGTCTCTCTGTCTCTCTGTCTCTGTGTCTGTCTCTCTGTCTCTGTGTCTGTCTCTGTGTCTCTCTGTTTCTGTGTCTGTCTCTGTGTCTGTCTGTGTCTGTCTGTGTCTGTCTGTCTCTGTGTGTCTCTGTGTCTGTCTCTGTATCTTTCTCTCTGTCTGTCTCTGTCTCTGTGTCTGTCTCTGTGCCTGTCTCTGTGTCTCTCTGTCTCTGTCTCTTCACAAACTTCTTTAAAGAAAAGAATATTATAAAGTTTACACACAGTTATGTTATTATGAGTGAAACAGAATCCAGAGATCAATAATAAATCATTCGTCCAGACTCACACTGATCATCGTCAACGTCCCTTTAATCTTACACAAAAACAGAACTGTCTGTGTTCACCTGCAGCGTTTCACAGCAAACCAGATCGCCAAGCTGCGACAGAGCCGAGCGGACCAGTACCAGGACACTGAGGTCAGCCGCCAGAGCATCACTGTGACCTTTGACCTGAGGCCTGTGACCTCTGTGGGTCACCTTAGTGTGAACTGAGCTTGTGTGTGTGTGTGTGTGTGGGTGTGTGTGTGGTTTCAGAGGATCTCATTGGTCAGTAGTTTTGCAGCCTCTCTCTTCCTCGGTGATTACGCCGCCATCGACTACAGTGACGGTACGGCACCGACCACACTTCATCCATCCATCCATTCATTCATTCATTCATTCATTTTCATGTTTCTGTTCTACAAACTAAACTAAATGAACATATTTGATCAAATGGAATTAAAATCAGTGTCACTGTAAAAATATTACGACATAAAATATAAATAATTTCTTAAACTAGAAAATTAAAATTAAAAAAAGGAAATCAGAAATTTAAAACACATTTCTGAAAACTTTCCACTTCTCAACTTTTTCTTTGTCTTTTTCTGAAGCACCGTCACATGACTCTTTAATATTATCTCTACATATATACTGTATGTCATTAATTCACATTCATTTGTTTCTGTTTGTTTACTTCACACATTCATTCATGTATCTATGGACCTGTGGTTCCGCCACTCATCAGTTACTTTTTGAATCATCATCTATTAATGATTCATATTTGAATTACTGTCAGTTATTGTTTTGATTTTTATCAGTTTTATTATTATCAGAACAGTGACGACAAAAATGAATCCAGAGAAGAAGAGAAGCAGAATAATGATGATCAATCAGACAGGAACAGGAAGTGATTGTTCAGAATCCTGAACCTCTGATTGGTTCCTGACAGGAAGTGTCACATGGACAGAGTCAGTGACAAAGTAAATGACTGAGTTACTATCTTATTGATCAGTTGATTGATGAACTGATCGACTGATTGGTTGTTCAGGTTCAGGGATGAATCTTCTGGACATCAGGACCAGAACCTGGTCTGAGATCTGCCTGGAGGCCACCGCTCCACGTTTGGACCGACTGCTGGGAGCGCCGCTCCCCTCCACATCTGTACTGGTAAGACTGGTCCACTCTGGTCCACTCTGGTGTGGTTTGGCCTGTGGGCTGGTGGGTGACCAGTGTGAGGCGTCTCAGTGCTCCTTCCTGTCCTGCAGGGTCCCGTCTCCTCCCTCTGTGTGGCTGCACATGGTTTCAGTGAGAGCTGCCGGGTGGTGACCTTCACTGGAGACAACCCAGGTGAAATACACAAGATTAATATGAAGAGTAAAGAATTAGTCAAACGTTAAATTTATTTTTTATTTCCCAAGCTGAGAAAAATACAGACAGCTGTTTCTGATTCCAGATGTTTCCACCTCATGTTGTTGTTTCATTCACTCAGATTTAAAACAGTTCCTGTAGTTCTGTCAGATGAACACAGGGTGGTGCTGTCTGCTGCAGGATGATGTTACCTGCTCTGTGTGTGTGTGTGTGTGTGTGTGTGTGTGTGTGTGTGTGTGTGTGTGTGTGTGTGTGTGTGTGTGTGTGTGTGTGTGTGTTTCCTGTCTCTCAGCATCTCTGGCAGGAATGAGGCTCCAGCAGGGAGACATCACTGTAAGTTCGTCCACACAGTCTGTCCATCATCCCCTCACTGTACCATACTCTATATACACTCTGTGTGTGTGTGTGTGTGTGTGTGTGTGTGTGTGTGTGTGTGTGTGTGTGTGTTTGTCCAGGTGAGTCTAGGGACTAGTGACACGGTGTTTCTGTGGATCCAGCAGCCTCGTCCTGCTCTGGAGGGTCACATCTTCTGTAACCCTGTGGACTGGCAGGTGTACATGGCTCTGCTGTGGTACAACACACACACACACACACACACACACACACACACACACACACACACTGTGTTGCTGCTCTACATGTAATATCATGACATCATATCTATGAGGTGATAAAACACTGATGTGTGACGAGTTTGTCATCCTCAGCTTCAAGAACGGGTCTCTAACGAGGGAGCGCATCCGGGACGAGTGTGCTGGAGGATCATGGGAAGTTTTTTCCGCTGCGTTGAGGGACACGCCGCTCGGAAACAAAGGAAACATAGGTGAAGCTTCCTTCCTCCTCTTTCTCCCCTTTTCCTTCTTTCCTTCTTTCCTTCCTTCATTGCTTTCACTCTTTCCTTTCCTCTCTCCTTATGTCTTCATTATTTTCCTTACTTACTTTTTATTCCTTCTTTTCTTTCCTGCCTCTCTTCTTCTTCCTTTGTTATTTTCCTTTCTTCCCTTCCTCCACACATCTTTTCTTTTCCTCCTCTCCTCCTTCCTTTCTTCTCCCTTCCAGTTTTTCCTTGTTTCCCCCCCGCCCCCTCTCACTGGTTGTTTGGTGTTTCCAGGCTTTTATTTTGACACCATGGAGATCACCCCTCCTGCAGTGGGAGTTCATCGCTTTGACCCTGATGACACTGAGGTCGGTAGAGAGACATTCAGATACAGAGAGAGAGAGAGAGAGAGAGAGAGAGAGAGAGAGAGAGAGAGTCCACCTGTCTCACCTGTCTCACCTTTCTCACCTGTCCTGGTCCTGCAGGTGTCCTCCTTCAGTCCTCAGGTGGAGGTCCGGGCGGTGGTGGAGGGTCAGTTTCTGTCCAGGAGAGTCCACGCTGAGCGTCTGGGTTACTCCATCGGTAAGATCCTTCATTCCTTCATTCAGATGCTGTGGAAACACGTCTGACTTCCTCTTCTGTGTTTTTAGTTCCAGGGACCAGAGTGATGGCGACAGGAGGAGCTTCGTCTAATAGAGAGATTCTACAGGTGAGTGATCTGCCTCACCTGTTCACCTGTTCACCTGTCTGTAATTAACACACTGAGTAATTTATCAACCTGTTTGTATTTATTTTATTTATGGTTTCAGATTAAGTGACTATTAACTTTGCTTTCACTCGTTCTTTCATTTGTTCACTCGTTCACTCATTCCTTCAGTTGATAGTTTCAGCTCCTGTTCGAGTCGTTTTCATTATTAAACCACAGACATGAAAGTCGAGTCAAAAGCTGGACTCAAATAAATTGATTGTGACTTAGTCTAAAAACAAACAAACAAACAAACAAACAAAAACAACAACAGATGTAATGACCTGGAAACGAGAACAGCTGTGTTTGGTTTGATGTCAGTCGAATGTTTCCAGCAGCTGAGCCTCAAACATCCACCAGTCCAGCCAATCCACCGCTGATTAAACTCTTTATTATTATTGTTTGTACAATAGAAATATGAGGATTGGATTTATTGAAGGTGTGTTTGACCTCTGAGTGGAACGTGTCGAATCCATATTTTAATGTTTAAACTGAAGATTTTTAGTTTATATTTACATGTAGAAGTGACAGTGCGTCTGTAATTGAAGACATTAACAGATTGAGGAGGATAAAAACTCACCTGTGTCAGGTAAATACTGTGAATGAGACGAGCAGCAGCAGACGGGGAGAATCACCTCTAATGGATCCATCAATTTCAGGCACAAACGAGCTCCTGCTAACGAGCCACCGTTTGATGTGCGGCTTCGTTAACGGAGGAAACCGTTTCCACCTCTCTCCCCCAGGTTCTGTCTGACGTGTTCAACGCTCCGGTCTACACCATCGATCTGTCAGACTCCGCCTGTCTGGGCTCCGCCTACAGAGCTCTGCACGGTAACACCATGACAACACTGATCAATCAATCAATCAATCAACCAATCGATCAATCAATCAGTCAGATCAGTCCTGCAGAGGCTGTCTCTCTGTGTCTTTGGACTTTTTTTCATGTATTATTGTGGTTATGTGCTGTGAGCTTTTATTTTGAAATGTTTGCGTTGAAGAGAAAACAAAGACTAATGGAGGAAAGAATTAAGGGAGAGGAACGGAAGGAGAAGGAAGAAAAAGGGAAAGAAAAGAAACGATGAAGGAAGAAAAGAACAAAGACCCTGAATTAAAGAAGGAAAAGATTTGCTGAAGGAAGGAAAGAAGGAGCCAAGGAAATAAGAGACATTTAAAGAAGGAAGGAAGGAAGGAAATGTTGAAGTTTACTAACCGATTAGCTTAGCTTCTCCTCTTAGCCTCTCTGTGACACTCTGGGCCTTCAGTGCTGCTAAAAACAAGCTCTCTGATTGGCTGGAGAGCTAACCAGTCGTATCATATCTGTGGACTGTAGAGAAAAGTTCCAGTTATTTATTCCTATTTTTAAGAATCGTTGGATTGTAAATTCCTCTTTTTAAGGCCTAATAAAATCTGAAATGATGAAATGAAGTTACTGACCGAATGAGTCGGAGACGTGACGTGTTTTGAATCGGCTTCCTAACGAGCTGCTGATCGTCCTCTGACTTCCATCGAGACACTGACGTTAGCTTAGTTCTACCGTCCGTCTCTGCTGCTCTCTGTCTGTGGGGTTATTGATCGATTCTCATCTGCATTCTTCGCCAGCAGCCAATCAGAGTGTCCGATTCAGAGGCGTGGCTTTCAGTTATAAACCCAGACTGAGCTGAGTTCATTGAAGTGACAGATAAAGACAGAAGAACTCCCTGTAGATCAGCCTCTGTTACTCTGAGTCTTTATCGAGGGACGTAGAACTAGAGGTTGAGCTGATCCTGAATCTGTGCAGCACTTAGTGAAACTTCAAAAAGTGACAACTTTATTAGACGGGTTAAAATCATCCGAGATAAACGAGGTGCTTCACGTCTGAGCGTAGCATGTCTCCAGCGAACACATGAAAAACACATGAAAGAGACTGAGCGAGTGGCGAGATACGCCGCTCGGCCTCCGCTGACTTCACATGTGACAGCCATCAAATATGTATGAGGGGGGAGGGGGGTGG